ACAATCCTCCTGTCTCAGCCTCCTGAGTGCTGGGATTACAGGTGTGCGCCACCACGCCTGGCCTTTACCCGGCTTTTTTAAGTTTTTTTAGCTTTAGGTTTTTTTTAGTTTTGCACTGCCACACCTAGCTCACTGAATTTTTTTAACTCAGTGATTTCAGCTTTTCTTGGTATTCTACTTTATAACAAAACCCCCTTCCCCCATCTCAACAGCATACCAAAACCTAGTCTGAAATGCATGGTATGGAGTCAGAAGAAATCTTAAAATCCAGCCCCCCTTTGGCTACTGTGGGTTTGTTTTGGTTTCTTTTGTATTTCTGATCATCTTTTTTACATTGGAGAAAAGTGTACATTCTTCTGAAGTCAGAGTTTATAAATGTCCCTTTCTTTGTGTTCTTAGTAAGTCATGTGGACTTTTGCTTAAATAACTCTCATGTCAGAGATCCGGGGAACAAACGGTTAATGGTTCCCCCCACTGAGATTCAGGCTGAAATGGCTTCCATCTGGAGTTTTCAGTGAACTTCTTCACAGAGACCCACTCTTCCTATGGCACATTGAGCCCCGCTCTTACTTGCTTATTATATTTTTCACATTTAGGAATGGCAAATATTTTTTCTTATACTGACATGTATAAGTAATACTACTAGTGCTTTTTTTCTTTTTTTTCTCTCTCTGTCCCTAAACATTGATTTTTAATAATTAAAGAACAAGTAAAATTGTCTTTATACTCATAATCAACTCTGCATCATCACACAGAATTATAGTCACAGAGACTTGAGGAGTCACACTAAGCAACTTGTTCCTTTCCTCCGAGCATGACATGTTTTGATGAATTGCACCCTTTATGCTACACACCTGGCTGTTCATGAGGCAGCTGACTGCCTTGTTCAAAACTAGCTCTGTCCCTGGCTGTGGACGGCCCGATCTGAGTAAATGCCCTCAACTCATGTCCCTCCCTGGGTAACCTTGTCAGGGTTGTCTCCAGGCCAGTAAAGCCTCAGGTGGGCCTGCGTTCTGCTGGCCCTGACCAAGCTCTCCTTTGCCTTGTCTGTCTTAGGCTTTAAAAGAGATAGATGAAGTTGGGGACCTGCTGCACCTGAAGTACTCCCGTCATCGACTGGTGCCTCTCCTGGACAGGCCGTTCGACGAGACTACGTACGAAGAAACGGAAGACTGAGCCTTTCTGGTGCTCCCTCAGAGGAACTCCCCTCACCCAGCACAGCGTGCGGCCTTTCTGAGCCAGTCCCCGGAACCGCACTCCTGTGGCCATCTCATGTCAAAGGCATTTGCTCAACTACTGGAGGCGGCCACCTGTATTCTAAATGACATTTTGTAAATAGTCAAGAACTGCTTCACATCCTTCCTTTGCTAGATCTTACCTTTTAAAAAAGAAGTGACTCACTCTGTCCATTAAAAGCATTTTATTTTATACTTACTCTACTTGTGAAATCCCGCTGACCCCACCTTCCCTGGCTAATCACATAGACATTGCCCTCTCCAGCCGCCTGGAGGGCTTGGCTCGCCCGCCCTGAGACCCACCGGCCCTGCTTCCCAGGGAGCAAGTGCCTTCCACTGACTTCCATCCTGGTCTCCGAGGTTACCCTCACGCAGCCCTTACCTACCCAGTCATGTGGTTAACTGTTCTCCCTTCAGCCTTCAGTTTGGCCTTTTAAGAGGAAACAGTAAGCAGTAGCAGTGCAAAACAGGTCGTGTGTAACTCCTGGCCAGGGGTCTCCAGGGCTCCTGTCTTACCCCGTTTCTTTTTGTTGTTGTTTCTGGTCACCAGATGATTTCTTCCTTTGCTGTCAAATGTGTCTTCCCATGGTCACAGTCTGAGGGTATGCGCACATTTTAGGTTCTTCCCAAGCTGTAATCCTGATACTTTTGCCTTCTTGTTTGAACCCTTCACCTTTTTGGAGGCCTTTCATCCCACCAAGTCAGATGTCAGTGGTGAAAACTTGTTTTTACTATTTTGTGTATAAAGCTGCTCTATAAGTGAGGGATGTTCTTGGTGGGGTGAGGGGCAAGGACAGTGTGGGAAGAATGGATGATTTGCAGAATGTCTGTGGTTGTGTCTCTTTTCGACTTTTCAAGAATTATGATAGCTTCTGGCTGGATTTGGGTCCAGTTTAGGATTCAGACTGGTAAAGGAAAATGCTGGTCAACTCTCTGCTCGGAAAGGACTGCTCATGTTCCTACTTCACGATTAAGGTTAGCTTAGTCCTTTTCGAAGCTGATGCTCTGACTTCTTCTGAGTGCAAAATCCTTGTGTTCCTGGTGTCCTAACACAGTTTCCACCTGGCATGTGGGGCTGAAGTCTCCCTGTGCCTCCATTATGTGGTTTTTTTTCCCTGAGAAATTCTGATCACTTTTCTCTTTCCTAAACTAGAATATCCTCTATTTGGACTCTGTTTTCATGCTATAACCAGGTAAGGAGACTTTTTTGCGAGAGCTTTATACTGCTTCACCAAAGAATATACTAAAAATCACCACCTTGAAGTTATTTTTTTTCTTTTGACCAAAGCTTAAGTGAAAAGAACTTTTGGCTTTATTGTACCCAAGATCAGCTTGTCTTTTAGTGGCCATTGAGTATTAGAGGGGAACGATTGGGAACAGAGTGAAAAAACATGTATAAAAGTAGTTTTCCACTTTTCTGTTTTTGAAAATGTACCTTTTATTGGTAAAGATTCCCAATCCCTTTTCTCCTAGGCATCTTGTCATCAGCTGTGGAGTAGTTGTGCAAATACATGTTGTGGAGGATGTAAGCAATATTGTTTGTGAAATTTTGTTTCCATGTCCTGCATATAAAAGTTATCTTTGGTCACTCTCAGCATCTGAGAGCTTTTAAGTCCTTGAGAAGTTCCAAGGTTTTATATCACTTTTTTAAAGAACATAAAAGGGTGAGTAAAAGAACCAGGGAGAGATACAGGAATGATATTTAGCATGTACATGTTAAAGTTAATAGGTTGCGGTAACTAAGTAACTAGTCCTGTAAAATAAAATCCATTGCTAACTTGCCCGTGTGTCCAGCCCCTCCCTATAGATCCCACTGGAACACCAGGTAAGCTTTAACACTGCAGTTACTCTTTAATGGTGTAGGCATAGGCTTGTAAAAGTCACAGATTTTAAGCAATGAACTTACCTGCATGAAGTCAACTCCAAATTAAAATGTCAGTTAGTATATATATAGATATATATATAATTTCACTGGTGCAAAGTCATTTCAGGATCAGTGCAATTAAGTTACAAGTTTATATTGAAGGGACAAAATTCCTGTGACGATCCAGGACCTCTGAATCTCTAGAAGAGAAAACGTTAGATATACATCATATATGGCTGGTTGTCTCTTCTTGAAACTGTAATGTAAATCTGAGCCCAGTCATATCATAGGCATCATTAACTAAGTTCTGAGAGAAATACAACTGTATATGAATAAGTCATTGAGAATGAGTAGAAATCTGAGGTATAAAAGACTGTTTAGTACAGTTTAATGTGACCTGATTCAGGAATCTGATGGGATTAAAGCATGCAATTGATAATCTGAGTGAATCAGTAGAGATGTGACTAATTCTCACCACTTTTTCTCACTTTTTAAATTCAGCATTGTTTTTATTCATTTCCAGTTCATAAGACCTCTTTCAGCAGATCACATCACTACATGCACAGCTAGGAGACATCAAAACCCCACACAAAGAGTGGATCAAGTGGCTGTTGCATTTCTCCTGCAATCTTTATTTTAAAAGCTTTAACATAGCAGTACAGGGATTTGGGGACACTTTTTAAAACACCTTCCTTTGCATTAGACTTTATTTAAATCTCCTTCATAAAAAGAACCCTCTGTGCTGCTTGTCTGAGGAGCCCTGCCACCTTAGTCCTTTAATTACTGTCTTAAATTCTAATGCTAGGGGCAAGGTTTTGGATAGTCAAAACAGGTTCCTTCCGTAGGTAGTCCCTGGTGAACAGGAACGTCCTACATCCACACTAAGGGCTCTGGTTTTGCCCCATGGCTCTTTCAGATGCCAGGGAACTTTTCCCAGTGACTTATATCTGTAATCCGTCTCTCTTTTGATTGGTCTTTTGTCTTTATCTTCCAGTTACTGAAATTTAGAAGTTCAGCTCCAGAGAAGGCTGATGTGTGGTGATGCTGGCCTTAAGGTTCAGTAGTTTAGGTATCCTGGTCTCTGTCCATTCAGCCTTGCATTTCAGGAGAAGACAGGGGACGGTATTTCTTCCCTACCTAATTAAAGGAGCCTGTATCTAAATTTCTCCTGACTGATACAGTCTAGTTAGATTTTCTAGTCAGTAGTACACTTTACTTCCTACCTATTAGTGTGAAAACCAGGAGACAGAGTGGCTCACTTGGAAAGAGTTCCTGACTTCTCAGGGAAGGGGGTAAAAATGATGGGATCTACCACTACCTACCTGTTTTTCTCTTCCAAATCAGTGAAGATGTCTGGTCCCCAGTGATACTGAATTGAGATATTAATGTAGAACTGCTGGTCACATAGAGGCAATGAAGGGAATCTGAGTAATTCTTTTTTTGTGTGGATTTGTACAGTGTGAAAGAAGCACCTAGAAAATACTAAATGCAGTTGTTCTCGTATAAAGAATTACTATGCCAGACATGGTGGCACATGGCTGTAATCTCAGCACTCTGGAGGCTGAGGCAGGAGGATTGCTTCAAGTTTGAGGCCAGCCTGGGCTACAAAGTGAGTTCAAGGCCAACTTGAACTGCATAGTTGAAACCTTGTCTCAAAAAAGACCATTAAAAAAAAAGTACTGTGACCTAATTCCTAGGGTGTTTTTCATCTCCTGATGTTTTCCTAGCCACAATGGGTTTAATCTGTATTTGCTTCTACTTGGTTAGAAAAAGAGGGAGAACAGTGGTTTTCCTTTTCTAACTGCCTACACTCTGAAGATCAGAACTGTTGAGCGTCTTACACAGGTAAAAGCAGCCCAAAGGGGCTGGAGGCGAGCCAAGAATCTATAACAATTTTTTTCAAGCCCCAGAATCTATAGATGTATGACTTCCTGCTTAACATGGAGGCCCAGTGCCCAGCAGGCATCTTAATCCATTAAGTCAGTTAATCAGAATGCCTTCCACTTGGGGAAAAGCCTGTCCCCTCCTTTCCTCTGCTTTAACCACAGAAGTGCATGCTTGGGCTCCAAGCCAGTTGCCAAGTGTCCAGCCACATAGCTGAAGTAGAGGGCTGGCATCCTTCTTTATCACACAGAAGAAACCAAGACCTAGCAGTGCCCCTTGGCTTTACATGTGTACAAAATGCTGTCATTCCTTTTGGATTTCCAGTGACTTGTTCTCCAAGCACCTGTGCTATAGATTTAGTCTTCTTTGAAAGACACAAAAGGGGCTGGCCCTCATGGGGCTTAGTCCTCTCTGTGCATCTGCAGGTTGCACACCCATAACCTACCCTTGCAAGTGGCTTGAGGGAGCTGTGGACAAGGTTCTGTTTACTATATAGTATTCATGATAAATAGCCTTAAGCTGTCACTCTCTCTGGTATGATGAGTTGTGATAAACTGACCCTAAAGAATATGGTGGTTCTTACATTGCAGTTACTGTGTTCTTCATGAAGCAAAACCCAAAGCTTTGTTCTTCTAGAGCAATTCTGGGAGGTTGAATGAAAGGGTGTGCTTTGTGTCTGTTTTGTTGCTATCTGTATGAAGAAGTGAATCTCTCCATGCACAAGAGACTTGAGCCAACTTTTAAGTCTACTTTTTCCAGCACAATTCCCAGGTTTCTTGTGCAAAGCTCAGTTGCTTCGCCAAGGCTAGTGATAGGGAACCTTTCAGAGCTTTCAGTGATAACAGCCTGCTGTGCCATACATGCCGTAGGTTCGCCACCGCTGGTCTAGGCCTTCGAGAACGTGGGAGAATACCACTGATGAGGGTGAATGATGACCCGTCTTCACTCTAGCACTGATACCTCAGGACGGTGTAGCCAGTAGCTGGAATTACGGAACACTTCTTGCTGGGGCTTCACAGAACACAGGAAATCACCCCATCTTGATGATCCCTCTCTGTATAAAGGCAGCTAACAATAAGAGAAGGGGGAAAGAGATAGAAGAGAGCAGAGCTTACAGGAAAGCTGAGGTCGTGTCTTACTTTGTTGATCCATAGTTTTCTGCTGACCAAGTGAATCTGTAAATGACTTTGCAAGATGTGATGTTAGCCCTTCCATTGCTGTGATGTTAGCATAATCTGGGGAAATGAGTGGATGGGAAATGTAAATAAAATTTTTTTTAAATTTTAGTAATGTGTTAAAATGTCCCTTTGCGTTACCCTGCCTTCTTGTAGATGGTGAATTTTTTTTTAATTTTTTATCGGGTGACTGTGAAGCTACAGTGTATTGGGGGTTAGTGAATCTGTTTTGAGAATACATGTTAAAGAACTGAAGCAGAACCTCCTAAGATGACCTAGGAATCATCTCATGCAAATATATTGATTTGCCCTAATAAAGCATTCACAAAGATACATCTGCCTTTAGTTATTCAACCAGGAAATATTAAGAGCTATCTCTTGGCCAGCACATGTACCAGTCACCACCAATAAAGCTATGGCCACATAGATGTGATTCCTACTTGCTAGTAAACAAGCACGTGAACATATAAGTCAATTTACAAACTGCTAAGGATTATGAAAAAAAAAGCATGGCAAAGCATTATATCAAAGCAGGGGGTAGGAGCATAAGCCTTTAATCCCAGCACTTTGGGAGGCTGAGGCAGGAGGATCACAAATTTAAGCCCTGCCTGAGCAACTAGCAAGACCTGACTCAAGGGTCAGAGATGATGCAGTTCAGTACAAAGGCAAAAGCTGAATCCCATTACTGAATTTCTTTTTTTAACTTTTGGACCCAGTATCTGGCTTAGATGGGTAACAAGAAAGTTTGAGAAAGTAGAGGATCTGCAACAAAGTTGAAGAAAGAGCTGGGAAAGGAGAGGTAGGAGCGGGAGGCCATCAAGGAGGCAGCAGAGGCTGCTGCTCTGGACTCAGGGTGAGGTGAGATGTTTTGCTGCGGGGGAAACCATTGGGAAGTGGAAGCATTGGAAAAGGTAACCCCTAGCATGCTTTCTGTAGACGTTCACAAGTTGATAAAATTTACATAGAAATACTCAAAATAATCTTAAAAGGAGACTGCCATTTCCTGGGGACTTTCAGTAAAGTTGCAGTAATAATGGCAGGGTGTGTGGCACTGGGGTAGTATAGATCAGTAAAGCAACAGACCCGTGCGTATGTGGTTAGCTGCTTTTAACAGAGGTTCCAAGGCAGTCATTGCAAAAAGCAGTTAACTAACGCTGGGGGGGGGGGGGGAGCTGGCCTCCAGCCCTTATATACAATGATTGTAGATCTGAACATAAAAATGAAAACCATAAAACTGCTAGAAAAAGATGGAAAGAAAATCTGACTTTAGGGAATGATTCTTAGGACAAAGAACATGACCCATTTAGAAAAATTGACAAATTAGACTTCATCAAAATGAAGACTTTTTTTAAAAATGACTTTAATGCAAACTCCAGACTGGAATAAAATATCACAGTATGTAAGTGTGGTAAAGGCTTCATCCAGAGCATGTGAAAGGACCCTTAATACTCAACAAGTCTATTGGATAAAAATAGGGAAAAGATTTGAACAAACACTCACAAAAAGGTGCACTACTGGACAATGAGCACGTGAAAAAGTGTTCCTAATCACCAGTCATCTCAGAAATGCACATGAAAGCTACAGTAAGATCCCTGCCCATGATGGCTAAAATTTAAAAGAAATATTAAGTGTGGACAAAGATGTGGACATCCCTTCCCATGATGGCTAAAATTTAAAAGAATTGAATATTAAGTGTGGACAAAGATGTGGACAAAACTGTGGAACTGGAGTTCACAGAGTCCTGGTGGACACAACCATGTGAAAAAACAATTTGGCAGATGGGATTTTTTATTTTTTATTTTTTATTTATTTTTTTTTTTTTTTGCAACAGGACTTCACTATGTAGTCTAGGCTGGGCTTGAACTTGAGCTCCCCCTGCCTCAGCCTCCTGAGTGCCAGGAATACAAGCATGACCACCACACCTGGCTAATTCAGCTGTTTTTTGACAGCCATTCTATACACTGGTACTTATTTAACCAAGAGAAATGAAAGCAAATCTACATGAAGACTTATGCTTGAATATTCACAGTTTCTTCATAATAATCCCTAGCTGAAAACAACCCAAACCATCACAGTAAATGGGTAAATTGTACTGTGCCAATCTGATGGAATATTATCAGCAGAAAGGAATAAGCCACTGACACAAGATGGATGAATCTCAACAATGCAGAGGGAAAAAGAATACATAACTGTCTCTCCTTTGCTAGGAAATTCTAGAAAGGGCAACACTAACCTATGGCGACAGTGGGGTCAGCTGCTGCCAGGAGCCAAGGTTAGGTGGTGAGGATTAATGAAAGGGGTTTTTAAGAAACAATTTTCCAAAAAGTAGAAAATCATGACTTTTTTAAGGATATAAAAGTAAACACTTGCTAAAGATTCTGTTTAATATAGTCCTGAAACTGGTGAGTTCAATTCAAAGGAGATCCTAGCAAAGAATTGATGGATGAGCCATATTCAAATGAATGCACTGGCAGGCAAAACGTGTTTCTTCTGTACTGGGAGCAGGAAGTCAGTTGAGCATCTACAGGACAGGATGACATGGACCTGACCTCATTTTTTTGTTTGGTTGGATTTTTTGCATACTGGAGATTCAACCCAGCACCCTTGCACTGAGCTACAGCCAAGTCTCCCCCACCTCCCAGTTTTTATTTTAGCACACTTGCAGTACATAATGTTAATATTCCTGTGTGGAACTGGTGCATGCACATAACACATCTCAGTTATTTTTCCCTCCCTTCTCCCTCCTTTCTGCCCAGCCCTTCCTCTCCCTCTACCTCTTGGTCCCCTTACCATCTGAAACAGATCTAGCTTCCCACTTCCTGTTATCTGTCTTATTTTGCTCTGTTTTGAATTTCTCATGTAAAAGAAACCACACAATATTAAGCTTGTGTGCCTTATTTATTTCACGTAACATTATAGTCTTAAGGTGCATCCATTTTCCTACAAATCACTCAAGTTTATCCTTCTTGGTAGAGTAGTATTCCAATGTGTATAAATGTTGCATTTTTTTGTCCATTCATCTGCTGATGGGTATTGTGAATTGAGCTGCTATAAGAGAGTATGCATCTGTTACTGTAATATGATATCTTTAACTCCTCCCCAACCCTTTTTCTATTTTTTTATTTTGAGACAGTCTCTCTCACCAAGTCACTAAATTGCCCAGACTGGGCTTGAAGTTGTAATCCTTCTGCATCACCTTCCCAGAGTACTGGGAGTACAGCTATGTACCACCATGCCCAGCTCAGAATGCACATTGCTTCACAAGAATTATTTTGCTTTGCTATCAGTTACCTACAACCTACAGAACACTCAAAGACAATGAGAGACGAGAAGCAGATAACCCAGGTAGATATACTGCATGTGGACGGTGCCCAAGTGTTTCAACATGTGTATGCTCTGTCCCTTACACAGGGAATTAGTATTGCAAAGGGTCTGTATGACCCTCGATGTGGTCACATGGAGCATATACATTTATTAAAGCTCACTGAACTGTAATTAATATGGATATCTTGTCATGTGCTAATTATATGTGAATGAAGTTGATTTTAAAAAAAAAGTAACTGGTTTCACGGGGCTGGGGGTGCGGCGAATTCCACAGCTATTGCGGCAGGTGGAGAGCGGGGCTGGGGAGAGGTGAGTGACTGACAAGGAGATGGGAACTCCTGAAGGGAAGCTCACTGTCTTCACATTCGGAGCTTAATCTCATGGAAAGCGCCCAAGTGTGGTGAAAAGACAAAGTATTCGGCTAGATACTAAAGTATTCTAACCAAAAGGGAAAAAAGAAAACCTGAAAAGGAATAAAGCAGGCTCGAGTCTAGTCTCATAAAGGTCATACAGTATAGCAAGTGTTCAAAAGCTGGGTTTCTTTTGGCTAACGTCTGTGTGTTTGCCATGGAGCAGGCATTGCTTTAAGTTCAGCCACACGAAATTGCCAATGTTCCACCCTTTCGATCAAAACATGGCAGCTTCACAGAGTTCGTGCTCCTGTGAACTCTCAGCATGGGTTCTCACTTCCTCCTCACTCTTGTGAGATGGGTAGCACTCCCCCTCCCCACACCATCACAGATGACAAAAGCGCAGAGAGGAAATAATTTCTCCAGTAATGTCACGCACTTAGTAAATGGCAGGAGTGGGATTCAAACCCTACTGGCCAACCTCACCATCCAAAGCACTGCAGGGAGGGTCCTTGGTTGTGCATTGGTTTTATTTTTAATTGTTTTGCAACAGGGTCTTGCTCTGTAATTCAGGCTGGTCTCAAACTCACAGCAATCCTCCTGTCTCAGCCTCTGGGTACTACGATTAAAGGCGTGTGGCACCACGCTCAGCTCCAGCTCCTCTGTTATGGTTTCCCTTTTTTTGGTCTTTTTAAAACAGTGCCTCGCTGCCTCGCTGTACAGTTCTAGCTGGTCTTAAGCTCACTTTGTAGCCGAGGCTGGCCTCGAACTCGTGACAATCCTCCTGCCTCAACCTCCCAAGTGAACCAAAAAGTGAAGTCAGGTCCATGTCATCCTGTCCTGTAGAAGATGCTCAACTGACTTCCTGCTCCCAGTACAGAAGAAACACGTTTTACCTGCCAGTGCATTCATTTGAATATGGCTCATCCATCAATTCTCTTTTGCTAGGATCTCCTTTGAATTGAACTCACCAGAACCTTTCCTCAACCTCCCGGATTACAGGCGTGCGCCACCACGCCCGACAACCCTATTGTGCACTCGAGGACAGGAGTAGCTGCAGAAAAGGAAAGGTCGCCTCAGACCTTCACCTGGCTCCGCCAGACCCCAGTAGTTCTACCTTCGAGGCCGAGCTCCGGGCCATCCTCTCCTCCACCTCCAGGCAACGCTGGGTCCCCTCCAGCGCCCTCCTGCGGCCCTTTGATGGCATCTCCCTGAGCTCCCCATCCTGGCCGCTCGTTCTTGCTGTCGGCCACAGCGCAGGTTCTACTCCGAGGAAGGCAGGCCATTGTTATGCAGCCTCGCGCGGCCTGCCGGGCGCATCCCTACAGGGTCTCCCCACTGACTTCTGGGGTTTCATCCTCCCACCCGAGTCTCAACTCGTTCCTGGTTTTTAAAGGGCAGGGGTGAAGAAATGTCAGGTGTGGGTCCCCGCCTCCAGCAGCAGCGCTGGAGCGGTGACCCCGGGCCTCCTTACCGAGCAAACCTCGGTGCACACACGCGCACCCCAGGATCCGGGGTCTCCTGCCCCTCGCCCGCAAGGCCCTGCCAGGCCCTCCGGGTCTGGGCGCCGTCGGGAGCCGGGGGGTGGCGCCGGACCCTCCCCGCCCAGCAGGGGTCGCCGGCGCACGGGGCTGGGTAGGGCGGGCGGCAACTTCCCGGGACAGGAATTCGTTTGGGGCCGCGAGGGCGACAGCGCCCGGGACTAAGCGCGGGGAGGCAGCCAGATCCAAGGAGCC